AATAATAAAAAAATCGAAGAATTTAAGTATATATTTAGACAAAAAAAAAGATATGTCATTGTCAATTGAGTTGTTTAATTCATGAATATATTTAGTATAATTATATTATCTGTCTGAGTTGGCTTAATTCATGAGACCACTGGCAGTGGAGAGGTATCCATGTCTTGAAAAAAAAATCGAACGAGCTGGAAAAAAATTGGTGTTCGTGAAATCTCATTTGTTCATAACTTTTTAATCTCGTTTATTGTGAAAAAAATTATTGATCTAACAGAGTTGTTTAAATTATGAATATATTTAATATAATTGTAGCGTCCATGTAATCTAAGAAAATTGAGTTAGTGAAATTGATCATGTAAATATGTTCAGATACACTGTATATATACATAAAATAAACAACATATAAACAATATGTAATTTAACTGTGTAGTTATACATAAATAAACAACACTGAAAAGGGATAAAACATAATACACAATTCTAAATGACTGTAGAATCCAAATCGAATGTAGTTATACATAAGATAAACAACATATATTTACTTTACATGACACCGAATTGAACTTAGACCTTAGCAATTCAAACATATGTCTACTTTTTTCTAACATAAGATAAACATGATCCAACATTTTTCTATATTAATTTTATAGTTATACATAAGATAAACAACATATAAACAATACTAAAATGGTATATAAACATAATACACAATTCTGAATTATTGCAAAATCAATGTAGTTATACATTAGATAAACAACATGTAAAATGCATGTAAATTTACCGTATAGTTAAACAACATATAAACAACACAAACGGGATAAAACATAACACATCTTTCTGATTGAGTGTAATATAATTAAACTTAAGATAAACGCAAAGCCTCATACAACTAAGACACATGTACAATTAAAAATATCTAATCTAACCAAATCTCGAGCCATACTCTTGTTGAAAATAAGAAGAATCAATGGGTGGGAGACGAAAAACGATTCGACGGCCAACGACGGAGGAGTGTCGTGGTATACCGCTCGGCTCTAGGTTGAGAATCTTGCCAAGGTGTGACGAAATACGATGCGACGGCCAGCGGCGGCGGAGGGTTACGTGGTACCGCTTGGCTCTCGGTTGAGAATTAAATTTTTGAAGGGACATCTTAGATTCATGGGTCAACGTAAGACAGCGGAGTCCGACTTCTTTTGGACAACTTTATGCTCGAATGTTTAATTTTTAGTTGTTAGACGAGATAGTGAGCGAGTTATCAAACTTCATCTTCACTATTGTGATGATTGACATCTTGTTTTCTTCGATTGGAAATTGATGAATCTATGGAGGAAGATGGGGTTTGAGTGTTCTATGAAATTTGTTTTTTCTCCGTCTCATGTCTTGTATGAGGAGAGAAACACAAAAACTGTGATTTGGTGAGAGAAATATTTTTTTTTTCCTTTCTAGCAGTTGTTTTATGGTAATATATAGATTATCATGATTCTCGATATTCTTGTTCCAATTTGACCATTAATTGTGTTTTCAAGATGATTGTGATTAATATTTCCAAACCGCCTAAATCACCAATTACATATTTAATTGAATAAAAACATTCGTATTTACAAAAAATAGTTTTGACTTTCGTATTTTTACAAATAATGTTAAAAGGTGTGGTAGAGGGAGTAAATTTCTCAAATTTTTATACTACAAATTTTAACCATTTAAACAATTGAAACCATAAAATCTAAATTTTCCTCTACATAGCTTCCATGCAAATCGCAAATACACGGGTAAAAAACTAATTTATCTTCAATCTGCTATCTTATAAACAGGGTGCAGGTTTTATTAATATAATAAAATTTAACCATTTAAACAATTGAAACCATAAATTCTAAATATTCCTCTACATAGATTTCGTGCAAATGCACGAGTAAAAAACTAGTTTATCTTTTATCCGCTATCTTATAAACGGGGTGCGAATTTTATTAATATAATACTTCTATCGTTTCGGAAAAAAAAAAAGTTGATCCTATGGCTAATGAGAGCGCCATGGGGCTGGTGTAAATTGGCATAGCGACCAGGACCCATTATTCTTACCCCAATGGACACCACCATCGCATCGCATGTAAACCCCCTACAAGCCATCATCTCTACAGTTTCTCCCTCTCTCTCTCTCTCTCTCTCTCTCTCTCAATCGAGTCATCCCAATTGAAGCACATAGATACATATAACATATATAGATATATGTGTATATCTTACATGTATGACCTCATCTGACTCTATTTGCATTGCTAGGGTTTAGGATTTTATATCTTGGTGCACAGTGAATTTGATTTTGATACCGACTGAGGGTTTTTGTTAAGCCTGGCAAATTTTCACCCATTCTTCGATCTACGCGTCAATGGATTCAGCACCTACCTCATTGTCATTTGTCACGAGGGATGGGTCGCCAGCGGTGGCCGGATCAGTGGAGGACGATGGTGCTCTGTCCGTTGCCGCGGGGTTGGCTAAGGAGGCAGCTCTGCTCTTTCAGGCTGGGAAGTTTATGGACTGTTTGAGAATTTTGATCCAGTTGTCTCAAAAGAAAGAGAACGATCCCAAGGTAATCTTGAGACTTTTGATTGGTTGATAGTGCTTGCATAATACTGGATGGATTTTGAGGAGTGACCGATGTTTGTAACTTGAATTCTTGAGAAGTCATGTTGATTTGCTTGGATAATGTGCATGCCTGGGTTAACTTAAATTGGATTTAAGGGATGAAATGGAAAATGGTTTGGTCTATGTGAGCCTACTGCCAACAGATTTCAAAAGTTTTCACAAGATGCATGTTATGCATAATCTTCAGTTCATGGTTATGACTGGGTTTTCTAGTATTCTGTGGATTTTTGAAAGGCAAATCCTTCTTTCTCGTTTAGTGTTTTGAGTTATTTGTGATGTGATTTAACCAAATGGTTGGGCAGTTCTGCTTTGCTTTTTTTTTTTTTT